AATATACCTGTAATGCTTGCTTGGTTTTCAAAAGACTAGTAACAAGTAAATAGTAACTGTTCCATCTAGTTTCACTTGGAACTACTATACTATAATACTTCTTGTAGTTTATTTTTTGTTGATCATGTAATTGCCTGATAAAATATTTATTATTGGCATTATTAAAATACATGCCTAGCTGAATCACTTTATCTATTGTGCTTTTTAAATCAGTTGATTCCTTAAAAACTTCACCTATGCATAGGTTTAATTGGTGGACATAACAGAACAAGAATACAATATTTCTGTGAATAGGCCTTAATCTTCGTCTAATAATAATATAATATATATAATTAAATTATAGACTAATATAAATCAGAAGAAAAATGAAAATACCTAGTTGCAGCGTATGGCCCTACACTATCTGTTACAATTGCAATGATCTTTACATTTATTTTTTTTAACTCATCAATCATTTCTTCTGTTTTTTCTATTACTTTAGTATATCTTTCTCTCTCTATACTAATATTCATCACCTTCCAAATATAGGGTTTCCCCACTAAAGTTACTAACATTATACCCATTAATTGTTTATTATTGACATTTGTCCACCCATCAAACATTAAAGTAACACCAATTGAATCTTTTTGAAGAGCTTCAAACATTTCTCTATCATATTCAGAAACTGCTACCTCTAAAGTTGGTCTACTAAGAGTCCACAATCCAGAAGCTTTATAAGAGAGTTCAAAAAATCAAACAATTTATTTGCTTCAGGCTTGTTTATCTAATTAAAAGCCCAACTACAAGATACAGTTAGTCTTAGCAAAAGAACCTTAAATTTTTCATAGTCTTGTTGTGACAATGAACAAACAGAATAGTTGTCAAGTGGGCCAAAAGAAGTGGATCATACAATGCCCTTTTGGGTGGATGATTGTGATGAAGTAGACATGGTATTATATGAACCTGAAGAAATTGAGCATATTAATATATATTTCACACTGCTTAAAATAGACTTTTTTTTTATTCATACTTGATTGTTCATCATTGGATAAGTTAAAAACTTTTTCTCTCTCCTCAGGTGTTGTTTGTTCCGTACAATGTATACATTTTTTGAGATGCGCAATTATTCTATCTATTTTATTTGAAACAAAAACTTCCATCTCATTATTACCCAATATATCAATACACGCCTTAAAGTAAACTTTATAGTTACTTTTATTAATCTTTTCTTTGGATTTAATTATGTATCATTCTAAAAATCAGGTATTGGTAATATTACTATTTTACTGTTTTTTTTAGCTAGCAACTGTTTTTTGTTTTTTTTTAAAAAAAAAATTCTTTTAGTACCAGATACAAGTTTAGCAGAGTATAATAGACTTTGGTATGTTTATAAGATTGGTTTCATTATTAATAAATATTTGGCATCATATTTAATAAAAAAAAATGTAAAATAGATTTTGGGTTATTTATTAAAAAAATTTCAAACTTTGTGAGAGAAAGGCAAACTTCATGAAAAACAGGTGAGGACTTCAGCTTTGCATTATATGCTACATGCATTATCAGCTTATTTGACTCTATTCATTAATCAGGTTTTATGCATTATCATTTATTCTTGTTCTATTCATTAATTAAGTTCATGCATTATTAGCTCATTCGACTTTGTTCATTAAACAGATTTTATACATTATCATTACTTCATTTTAGAGCCCTCTGATGTTTTTTTGTAGCATCTAAAATAGCACTATTTTTTAGCAAAATAGCTATCAGCAATTGTTTTGTGCTAAGATGCGAAATTTGCTACTTTTGCACTAAACATGAGATTATTACCTTTGTTCTTGAACTAATTTATATAAATAAGTAATTATATGCATATTTTAGATAATAACTGAAGAATTCACTGAAATGATAGATGAAGAACTCGCAGAAGAAAAATATGATTGCATTAAATTTATACTTAATAAAGATAAGCTAGTTTGCTAAATTTGCTAATTTCACTAGCTATTTTTGCTAACTATTTTTGCTATCAGCATCTGGGGGTCCTGATCTCAATACTGCATATTTATAACATACTGGTACTACATTAATATTCTTTTCTATATAGAACTTTGGTTGCTTTTTTTAGGGCTCAATTAGAACTTAAGTCTTACAGTTTAGCTTTGATTGGAAATTTAATCTTACACAAATTTCAAACGATTGTAGAAAAGGTATATACCAGAGCTTAAAATCCTATAGTAATTTGCTGGCCTGTAGCCTATTGTTGGATGTTTTTCTTAATTCATCTTATTGTTTACTATGTATTTTGAATAGCCAGCATTTCAATATAGTCTTTTAAGTTCTGTTATATACTTTATGCACAATAAAATTTTTGTTTGTTAAATAAATGTATTTATCACAAAAAAAATTTTGACTTGCCAAAAATAATAAAATATATACTATTGATTGTTATAAAAATGGTTTAAAATAGTAATGCTTGTATGAGCAGACACAAGACTTTTTTTAGACACAATATATGAACATTTGAACATTGTCTAATTTTTGTCATAAATACTTCTGATGCATTAGCCAATTAAATGCTTGGACATTGGGCAATGTCCGGCAGACACTGTCTGCTGAACATCTGTGTTCACATTATATCATGTGGACAATGTCTAGTGACAATCTAAAAGTTTGGACATATAAGCGAACATGGACATTGGACAATGTCCAAATATGTCCATGTCCAAGAAATATGCGTGGATAGTGTTTGTGTACAACACTGGCATAGAGTATATCAAAATTTTATGAAAAATTTTTTTATTAGTGCTTCAAAAGTGGTTTTATAGACAAAATTTTTAAATAACAGAAAGAGTGCAATATATTGCATATGCAATAAATTATAAAACCCAATAAATAAATAAATAAATAAACTAATTACTTTCTATTTATAATACATTTGAGCAAATGCTCACTTTTTTAATAATTTTAACTCTTTCTTATAATCTTATCAGGTTGTATCTGAAAATTCTTTACTAATATTTAATTGTATTAATAAGATTTATAGCTATTATTATTATTTCTGAAACATTGCATAAAAATTAACTGAATATTTATTCTGCTAATTTGATAAATTATTTATTTTATTATAATTAATATAATATTTATTATTTACAAAAATAGTCTAAAGCTTAGTATGTATAAAGGTCTCAATTGATTTATAAATTAAAATTATATAAATTTACAAATTTTCTACTTTTAGTTCTAACTAATATTTTATTTCTAATTGTAACTCCTACAAATATTAGTTAGACTTTTCTTCTACTAAATTTTAAGATATTTTATATCATTTAGATTTAATAAATATGATTACTTACAAGTGGCAAAAGTCTATCAATGCATCTATATTTTTGAAATTAAAAGTTTCAAAGTTAACAAATAAATAGTACATTTTATTTTAAATAAATAGACAAAAATTATTATTTTAAATTTATCAGAAATGATATATTATTTATTTATAAATAAATATTTTATTTTCTATTTCTGTTAAAAATAGTTTCTGCTCATTAATTTTGAAACCTTTTATTGGTTAAAAACTTAACTTATTAAAGATCTAAAAATACTTAAGTGTTTAGCAATTATTCAAATTTATAACATTATTAAATTTTTTTAAATTGAATATGCTTCTAATCTATAATACTTAATTATAGTTATATCAATATTGGTAATATGATTATTATTAATAAATAATTGTTACTGCAAATCAATTATTATCTATGTAGTATATACATATTATCAAATATAAAACTATTATATTAAAATATATAAAATAATAATCATAGTGGCATACTTATTTAATTGGTGATACCTATGACAATCTACAAAAAAACATATATGTTTGGTCTTAAAAAAGCTATATAATAGTACACAAATCTTAATACAGATCTTACCACCTCCTTTAATTAAAAAGATCAATTTGAACTAACTTGTTTGCACTACTATAACTGGATATTCTTAACTGTTTATAATATATTAGAAGAGTTAGAAAACAATTATGATAGTTCTTAGTATATTAAAAATTAATCAAATAGAATAATAGCATACTTTACAATATTATATGAGTAAGAATACAAAAGTAACAATTATATTACTTAAGTAGTAAATTGAAATATAAGTATTTGATTATAATGTAAAAAGATGTATAATTATAAAGAATACAAATTTATTAAAATCACAAACTGTATCTTTTCTTTTAAGATAAAACACCTTTATTATATACTTTTATTTATTTATAACATATTATATAACTTATTTATAATATATAACTTATTATCTTATTTATACCAATTATAACTTTATACTAATAATGCTCCAATTCAATACTTGTTACAACAAATTTTTATTCTACAACCACATACTATTCTTCCTCATTCTCAATCTATTATTACTTTTTTATAACATATTCACAGCTTTGGCTACTTATCTAATAACTTATATAACTATACATTAATTATTTCTATTAAAAATAATTATAGTGAAGCTTATGTCTACCTTCTATCAGAACCCAAACCTATATCTAATCACTTCATCTTACCAGTTCAAGCCATTTGGCATTATCCAAATATCTAACTAAAATCAAATACATCAATATTAGCCTTTTTCATATTAGCACTCTCAGACCACCAGTTCTTCTTTACCTCTTATTTATTACAAAGACCAGAACCTTCAGATTATTACAGCTTATTTTCATCTTCTTCCAATAATCTAATACAAACAAATGATTCAATAATCATATCCTACCAACCTCTATCCTTAAAGATATTGTTAACATTAAGAGTTTTACACATTTTTGACTATAACTTTTGATGTACCAAACCAATTTGGATGAAACAACCACCA